CTTTCCTACAAATATCTTGAAGCCAGAAGGTCGCAGTTGATGTGAACACTTTCCTCCGCCCCCACGTGAGAAAAGTGAGAAAACTGTTCAATGGAATATTATTATTATTATCATTATTATTTAGTTGTTGTTGTTGTTGTTGTTGTTGTTGTCGATGATGATACTTATTATTGGGTTTACTTGTCCTCTGGCCATCCATTTCGAGTTTATTACAAAATGCGACAAGTGTTATTACAAAGTATGATGGTCTGTTAGAGCGGTTTTCACTTGACTGTCGAAAGTAAATTGAGGAATTGGTTTGGTTTTGGTTTTACTACGCCCTTTGGTTGGCTAGTGTATTTACTTTGGTTTTGGTTTTACGACAGTCAAGTGAAAACCGCTCTGTTACTAAGTGCGACAATTTTATTACAAAGTGTGACAGGACACCAACCCCCTCCCCCCCCCGGGGGTCAATATACCCTGGGACTTCTATTGGGAAAGCAAAACATACAAACTAAGGAGGTCTATTGACGAACTTTACGGCGAGGCGCGAGGAGAGAGAGAAGACTGTACTCGCAGGCGTCCTATTTAAATTGATAATTGCTAAAAAAATAATGATAATAAATAAAAAAATAAAACTGTGTCTGATTATTCTTATGGATAAACCTGACATTAAACTTGCCAACCAGATTCCGGAATCCGGATACCATTACATGTGGAGAGAAAATTCATGATGTGGGACTAAAAGGGTTTTAAAGAACAAAGAGGTAATGTTTCCTTTTGCCTGTCTCACAATTTTGTTATCACGCAGCGAGGACACAAACTGCACAGGACGCTACTTAGTTAATCAGCCCGTGCAATTATCGCTAAGAGTAGAAAAAAGATGAAAAGAAGTTATGCTTGGAGCTCTAGCACTTCTTTCGTCTTAGCCCGCAGAGCAGGCGTTTTTTAAAGGGAACTCAGTTTTTGACTCGCCCTAAATTTGTGATAGTTTTAACGTCCAAGATGGCGGAATAGCATTATTCCCGAAAATCATTCATGGATCGCGCTGCAAAATACACCTGCTTTGCAGGCTACGTTCGACTTTGACCTCTTATTTGCCCCACGTTCGATCAAGAGTACCTCACGCTTGAAAGAATTGATGTCTTTGGAAAATTTCTGCTTTGTTTGTGGACCTTTATCATACAATTTACTCTTTTGGAGATCGATAGTTTTAGATAAGTGACTTGTACAGGTGTAACGTTGTCTCCTCTCATAAATGCTGGACCTACACTAACCAAACTTTTTGCACAATAAGCTTCAACAGAAAGTTAATAAAGTTTTTTTCGGGGAATATTTCGAAACTGAGAGGCCATTTTTGTTTTATTTTTGCGTGGACGTCGCCTTGGATTTTAAACTCGCGCTATACTAGTGCTCAGGCTTCGCATGGACAATCTACTCTAAGGAGCCACCTTAATAAGTACCCTGAAGTATCTTGATATATAGAGGATATTACATGGCCGCGCAGGGATACGAATTTTATCTTCAAGTGCTGAAAGTATCGCGCGAGGGAAGCGAGATTACTTTCATCTAATGTTCTGTTTATTTTACAAATACTGATGAAATTCCTACATAAAACACAACTTTTTTTTTATTCATTTTCGAAACAGCAAAATAGTGCAATTAAAGTGGTTACCTATCGAAAAATGCCTGTCACAAAAATGTTATGAAACTCATCGACAAAGTCACTGGTAACTGTACAGTCTTCGCACCTCGAAGCGATTTTGTGAATGAAATTTCAAAAGAACCGGCCACGCGCCTGAGCGAGAAGCTCTCTTGTAATTGGCTAATCAAGTTAGTAACCATGGCGACACCAATACCCTCACATGTGAAAGATAAAAATAGTGTCTTCACTTCGCGCGATGAAGATATGATTTTTTAGTAAAATGAAAAATGCCGGTATTTCATCAGTATCTATATAATAAAACCGCGTTATTTGATAGGAGAGAGCGGTTGTACTAACTTAAGAAATCACTATTTAAAAAGCGACTGAACCGTGCAGGGTTTTGTAGAGTTTGCGCGGTAAAAGCGTAGAGCGTAGTTATATATGCGCCTTTGGTAAGTCAGACTCGTATAAACATTAGTGAAATTTGTAACAGAATTTTCCTGGTTCCGTGTAAACTCGATACACAGGAAAATAATCCGTCCGTTCAAAAATTTATCTGGACCCGTGCCGAACCAGGGTCTAAGTTGATAACAGAAATCCGAACGTTCTGCTTCCTCTTAAGGAACACTTTATTGTACTTGTCAATTTTTCATCAAACTTGTAATTATCTTGTCATGTACCGACTATTAAGATCATTTCAATTTCTTATCAAGATAATGGCTGTCTGGTCTTTTTAGCCCAATGGTTATTCCAGGCAGTCAACATCCCCAGTTCATTATATAACTATGTATAAATTTCTATTGTAAGGTTTCTTTCACTCTCGGCTGGTGCAATGTAGATTATCGTTGCTGCTTTGCTCTCGTTATTGTAAAGTTCACTTGACATCGGATGATTTTCTTTCAGTTGACCTGTCCGGACGGAAAGAAAAAAGGCTTCAACTTCCTTTTACGTCTTTCAGGTGCTGAAACGGAAATGTCCTCAGAGGGACATTTTAAAAACAGACCAACTAATTAAAGGCAACCTAACTTCAGTTCCATGAACGACGGTACGTGGACGGATATAGGCTATAAGGGAATTTAAAAATAGATACTTTAGAAGTCAAGGGCTTCAGTTTAACTAGAACTGAATGTAATCTCTAATATTTTTATTTCTTTACATGATTAACTTACACTAAAGGCAAATTTTTTTTCAACATCTAAAAGTTTTGTCACGCTAGAGAGGCCGGAAAGGAAACAGGGGCCGTTTGGAGGTTCTAGGAACACAAAGCTAAACAAAGCAGAACTATGAAATAATAATTGTTACCTTTTTAACAAGTCATTGTCATTTATTTTTGAAAATGTCATCTTTTTGACCCTGTTTCAGTATTCCCTGCACGCATGGCCATATGACCAGAGATTGCCATAAAAGGAAAATAAAACAAGCAAAAACAAACAAACAATGAACAGGAACAGAAGATTGACTTTCAGATGTTCACTATTTAACTGATGAGCACGTACCACCGATATCAGTAATCGCAGCGTTCTGGTTCATCTCTCATCATGGTTAATTATTTGGCTCTTTTCATCATTCTCTCTTTTTCTGGCCGTTTACTGGGAACAACCTCCTCACCTCAGCAACAAAACACCACAAAGCCAAACGATTTATGCAAGGTAAGACATGCATGTAAAAATTAATTCTACGCCGTAGAATACGTACGCCAAGAAATCATTATATTGCTCACATCGTTATGATCTTTTACTCATTAAAAGTACCTCACAAAGTGTAAGGCAGTTGATTTAAAAGTCATCGCCTCAGCATGATCTTAAACATTAACTCAGTGTTAGTCTTCTCTGATTCCATCCAGCTTTAAATAGGATTATGATATCCAAGGTCCATTATGTGCCTCTGGTTGGCGACCTTTCAATTGCTACATTAATCAGGTTTACGTTATTTAAGTCTGGGGGTACTCCCTTATATAATCTAGGTATGTGCCACTCCAAAGAGTAGGGTTTTTTGCGCCGTTTTGTCTGAAAACGGTTTTGAACTTTGCCCATTGTGGTCTGAAATCGTGTGTGGTTTTCGAAGGAAGTACGGGAGTCGGTATGAACATATTTTACCGTTTCAAATCCAAACGGGAAGGAAAGAGAAAAATGCGAATTCGTAATGGATTTTAAGAAATTTTTTTTTTATGTTTTTGTTCTATATTAATCTAAGTAATGACATAATTTCTTGGAGGCAAGGTCTAAAATCGGGTTTAGAGGCCAGGTCTGTAAGCGGGCGAAAAAATGACATTTTTTGGTCTAAAATAGGGTCAGGATTTGGAGAACCGAAAGCCGCACCTCCACCAAACATCCCTAGGAGTACTTCCCCGGGTATTTAGGGGTCCCGTTTCGTCTTCATGTCTGCCTGTTTTTAAACAGGCAGACATGACTTAAAAGTTACAAATCACATTTACTTTCAGCGATCTATACTTGGTTACCCTGGTATTCCAGGATCAGATGGTATACCGGGAGTGCCGGGCGTCCCCGGGCCACACGGACCCCAGGGAAGGAAAGGTGTAAAAGGACAAATTGGTGATAAAGGAATGCCTGGTCCAAGAGGAGAGAGAGGGCGCGAAGGGCCCCCTGGGAAGAGCGGACCCCGAGGAATTAAGGGAATGAAAGGTCAACAGGGACTTCTGGGAATGAAAAGAGAGCGAGGAGCTGTGGGAACTCAAAGAAGAAAAGGAGACAAAGGAGAGAAAGGAGAAAGCGTCAAAGCAAGTCAAGCAAGTGCAGTGCCACAAACCAACTGGAAACAATGTGTGTGGAAATCACACAGCAGTACTAATAACGGAAAGATTAAGGTAATTAGAATAAGATGCAAAACACACGTCCTAAGGAAAGTAATTCCTTTCTAAATTAAAATATTTCACCCCTTTCATTCACCTTTTGCCAACACATTTAAATAAATAAGTTATGTTTCCCTCTACTTTGGTTATTTATGAACACGTCATAACGACGTATTCGTGACGAAAAACGTGCCATAGCACTACATACACCATGCAAGTGAAAAAAAAAAAAAAAAAACTACAACAGAAAGGAAAATCAGCGTGCGTAATAAAATAATTCCTGGCCATATGGATACGGACAACAAAAATTTAAGCTTTTGCAGAGTTTTTAAGCATTAGGAAGTAATCTTGACTGGAGATGTTAGCGTCAATCATTTACACACGGTTGCTCGCCTTATTACGATATGTTTGATTTGTTTGATTCTATTGCAGGACTGTGCGTTTAACAAACCGCAGTCTAATTCAGCGCTCAGAGTCTCATTCCAGGGCAACATGATGGCCCGTGGTAATAATCATAGGTGTAACCGATGGTATTTCAAGATTAATGGGAATTAATGCAGTGGACCAATGACGATTGAGGCTGCTGTTCACAACTGGTGGCCATCTGGGCACCCTGAACTGCTACATCATCGGTCATTTGAGGGGTACTGTGAAAACATTTCACAAGGGGTGGTTAGAGTTGAATTGTGGGTAGGAGAGTGCAGTGGCAACACCTTGGGTGATGGTAACACTGGGTGGAATTCAGTCTCCCGGATCGTCACAATTATTTGGGTACCTAAATAACCAGGACCCAGTCACGATGAGCCGCAAGCAGTAAAATTTCTGTCCCGTAATTTAATCAGTTAAATCATCAAAGTTGACAGGTCTTTCTGATGATCAAAGCGACCGTTCGGTTTACCATTTACACCTTCAGTGCGAAGACTGTCACGGGAACATTAACACCTTCAGGATAATTGCTTACCATAACAGTGGTAGGTCGAGCGCGTCTGGCCGGTTTCGAAGAACGTGATCGTGACTGTTGTTTTTATTCAGTGACTGTGCGCGTTGATATGCCAACTTTTAAAACAGACTGCAACATTAAATTTTTGTTATAAAAGCAAAGAAGCTGCTGAGTAGAAACTAAACCGTCCCAGACTTATTCCGTTTCATTCGTGTACTTTCATTTTGATGGGGTCTGTATGATGAATTTACTTCTGCCTTCTAATCAGGCACGTAAACAACATAGAGATAAAACATTTCATTTTGCTTTTGTGGAGTAAAAATTAATCTTAAAAAAGTTAAATTAGTGGACCACTTTCTCCGCGTACTTGTAGAAATAGGCATTTAATATGTCGCGTACAGTGCGAAAATCTTCTTGTCGTGGATTAGATTTCAGTATACATATTCTTCATTTCGCGCCAGAATAAATTAGTTTGCGCGCAAAGGGCTTCTAAAAAAAGATCACAGGGTTTGTCCCACGTCGAGTCCTCCTTCTGGAGAACTTGGAGATACGCCGGTATGGTATCTGGAATACATTGCCGAGGCGAAGATCTGGCATTTTTTCCTCCTCGTCTTTTTTTCTCCGCGACGTTTGTTTATATTTGTAGTGAGAATGCCGCGCACATCGGTGGATTTTACTTCAGTCAAGCGGCTTCAGTTCCTGCGGCTTGCTACTCATCATAAAGAAGAGTGCCGGAATCGCTTTGTTCGCCTTTAACGGATTTGTTGTCGAATTCAAGGTAAAAGAACGGACTACTGTAAGGTAAGAATTGAAGTTTAAATTTGTTTCTCGGCGAAAAATAGTGCATACAACTCGTGAAACCCGTGAGTATTACCTCTGTTTAATATACCGGATGTCATGCGATGACCCCTCGCTTTTACGATGGATAGGATGGATACAAACAATAATTTCTTTCGCAACGTTTAGTATCATTTACTTAATATGGAGATCATCTGAGGACGATTTTTCGTTATATATGCTTCATTTCTTGGCTTATTCCGGCTACGTGCGAAGAATTAGATGACAATGTTTGTGTGCTATAATTATACCGATAATTTCTCGCACCTTGAAACTCATGAAAGCCAAACTTGTTTAACCCTAGCAAAAAACTCTTTTAATGGAGAAACTCAACCTGATAGTTGCATTAAAATCTAATAATTGTTACTGCATTTGCATGCTCTCTGTAACCTCGTGGGTAGAACATACCTGATGGTTACATTAATAATAATCACTGCATTTGCTCTCTGTAACCTCGTGGGTAGAACATACCTGAAGGTTACGTTAATAATAATCATTGCATTTTCTCTTTGTAACCTCGTGGGTAGAACATACCTGATGGTTACATTTAAAATAATAATCACTGCTTTTGCTCTCTGTAACCTCGTGGGTAGAACATACGTGAAGGTTACGTTAATAATAATCATTGCCCTTTCTCTTTGTAATCTCGTGGGTAGAACATACCTGATGGTTACATTAATAATATCACTGCATTTGCTCTCCGTAACCTCGTGGGTAGCATATACCTGACGGTTACATTTAATAATAATCACTGCATTTGCTCTCTGTAACCTCGTGGGTAGAACATACCTGAAGGTTACGTTAATAATAATCATTGCATTTTCTCTTTGTAACCTCGTGGGTAGAATATACCTGACGGTTACATTAATAATAATCACTGCATTTGCTCTCTGTAACCGCGTGGGTAGAACATACCTGAAGGTTACGTTAATAATAATCATTGCATTTTCCCTTTGTAACCTCGTGGGTAGAATATACCTGACGGTTATATTTAATAATAATCACTGCATTTGCTCTCTGTAACCTCGTGGGTAGAACATACCTGAAGGTTACGTTAATAATAATCATTGCATTTTCTCTTTGTAACCTCGTGGGGAAAAAAATTAATGCCTCTCTCCTGGAAATTTTGCCCTGTCCTTTGAGCATAGTGATCTTTGGGTAGCGAATTCACGAAAACAGGTAAAACGCTTTTTTTAAAAGCAACATTTATATTATTTGGCTTTTTGAGGGAGGTTAAACATTAATGGAATAGAATATAAAAAAAGCTGATAAAGCGGAAAAAGTTATCTTTACAAAATGCGCTTTGACAATGTCAAGGAGTGAAATAAGCTGAAGTTTTGTAGTTAGCCCGAAGAAAACCGGTTCCCGCATGAAAAGCAGTTCTGATTCCCTTCTCTTAACTAGAAGAGATGCATATCCCTGTGAACCAGTTTTTTAACTAGGAGCGATTCCCACTCACTTAAGATACTTTACTGACACGAGTTCCTATTTCAATGTATGTCTAATTCAAGCTTAGCCGCGTGATAGCTCTTCATTAGCGAAAAGGTCCAAGTGATATTTTGATTGACGTGTTGTTTTGGATCCTGAGGTTTTTTAACACCTTTTCTCTAGCTTAACTGGCGAAGATATTCTAGGAATTTGCCCTTCAATTCCAAATTCTTTGATGTGCCGCCAGATGCCGTGCAAAAATATCACCTCTTGCGGCTCCTCGTGGTTCGAAGGCCGATTAGCGTTTAAACTTGGGTTAAATTTAAAGCGGGATTTTTTTCTTTTGTTTAAAAGCATTTTCTCGATAAATTCTCAATTATCAACTCTTGGAGAAAAAGAATTCATTAAAGTAAACTGAATTTACTTCTTACTTCATATCTGAATTCAAATTTCGCACTAACCCTGAGTTATTTTATCTTAACCCAGCTTTAAACAACCTTGCCCAGTGCTGTATTGGTATTCCCGGTAGGGGATACCCATACCTGAGCAAGTTATAGGAAGGTAACCGTCGGACGTACACGCAAATTCATATCCCCTTCGTGGTACAGGGGGGCGGGGGATGGAACCCCTTCCCGAAGTTTTTGATATGTTGCAGTATTTTGAAACGATTTTACCTTTAGTGGAAAGCCTTTGATCTTGTTAACAAGATGAGGTATATTTTAGGGCTGGTGGTGCTGCTGGAGACCTGAGACGTCACCAACAGTGGCCGACATAAAATCAGAAGTATATAATTCTGTCTACATGTGCGGTTAATGGCGGTTAGGGGGCAATGACCGAGGCGAGCACGGTATGGGTATACCCGTTAGGAGATATGCATAGAGCAACTTAGTCTCACTAAGAACTTCCGTAAAGAGAGTACAGTTTTCTTTTATTTAGCAAGGCCTTTTTTGCTTTGTAGGTTTTTATATAAAGTGTACCATACATTTCACGACTTTATCTTTTTTTTAATGTTTTTGATGGTTTCGTAGAAAATATTTACACTTTTATCATAACCTGGAGATCAATCTTCTCTTTCATCCTAACCGAAAAAAAAAACATTTCCTTGATGTTTCAGCCAGAGGTGAACTAATGGAGGGTTAGATTAGCCACTAAACATTGCACTTATGATAAAAGAGTACCAACGTTTATCAAATGCTGACCTTACGCCGACCCCATAGGAGCTCCTCTGATCCAGTATATCTGGCTCGGAGGAAACCTATTCAATAAACTTTGTGGTATAAAATAGCCGCCTTTGCCCAGTATATATAATATACCTAAAATAAAGAAAGGAAAGTAGCCTAGGCCCGGGGGAGCGGGCGGGGGAGGGGTTGGGGGTACTCAAAAAATTTTTATACGGGTCCTAAGGTCCAACCCCTTACCCTTTTATATACCATTTTTCACGAAAAAGGAATCCTTTCGTATGCCTTCAATTGACAAATGGTACCCCTTTTAAATACCCTGTTTAGAACTTTGCATTCCTTTTGACTGCTGTAAATGCACTGTCATTTGACTGGGAATTAATCACAAAAATAGAACGTTTTCTCGACTTTATAAAGCCATAAAATTGATCTGTTAGCCCTTTGGGCCCTTTAACAGACCCAAATGACCGATTTCCCTACCCTTTCATATACTTCAGCGAGTAAAATCTCTCCCCCTTTCATACACCTGAAGCCTGAAAAAGGTACCCCTCTGGGCGGAGCCTCCCCGTATAGGCCATTATAGGGAGAACCCCCTCCGGGAGCCTAGGTATTCAACCAGGTGACTTATAAACCCAAGGCTTTTATCTGAGTAGAAAGACAGGTATTACATGGTGGCCATTACATGCAAACCTCCTTTTACAATAGCAAGAAGGCGTAACTATCACAGAATTCCATTACTCTGTGGCCAACCCCAAAAATATAGTTTAAAGATCTGTAATAAGTAAATTGCAGCGTTCTATATGAACAGAGATAATAGCAGTTTACCCAAGTCACGAGCTTGATGATGTCATCACCTTTCACCCGAGATATAAGTCAAACCGAAAACAAAACTGAATCGTTGGCCAAATTAAGTTTTCCGCTAGCATTACCGTTTCGTACCGCTATACATTCAGACGCCATTTTATTCTGTTTCGTAGTGAATAGGTGCACAACTATCTTCCCAAAAGGCGGCAAATAATGGTAGAGATAACCGTGACGCAATGAGCGTCGAGCATATCTAGCGATATGCACCGACCCTAAAGAGGGGTAGATGACATTTTCAGTGGCTAGCTATACCAGCAATTTTCGCGTTTTTTGATTGGCCCCTGTAACTTCCGAGGGTCTTATATCCAAGGAGGCTTAAAATCGGAATAGAAAATGAGTTTTGAAACACGCAATAGCGGTGCTGATCAAAATACGTTTTGCATTCACTGGTTTTATATTAAGCTTCAAAATGTCATTGATAACAAATAGAACTCACAGGGAGCTTATAATTAGTGCTAGATAGGGGCTTATATTCGGGGAGACGTCTAATAGCATGTAGAGAAAGATTGGTCTATAACTGGGGGGGGAGGCTTATAAGTGGCGGGGGGGGGGAGTGGGAACCTTATAATCGGCTGTTACAGTATGTGAGTATTTTTAGCCAGATTCCTTAAGGTAATGACAGACTGGGTTCAAGTATTATAAAAACAGACGTCGTCTTTTAGGTGTTCGCATTTCACGACTTAGTTGAGTAGAAAATGGGAAGGAGATGTATTAAAAGGTTTTAATCCATTCTCATTTTTCGTCTTGCCATTTTAAGGCTGGTTTACCGGCAGCGATTGTGTGCCCTATTTCCTAAGAAAATATATCGCGATGCAACAGATCATTTTAATCTATCCGGTTTTTGACCATTTTATATCTTTTCGTTTTTCTTTCGAAAAATCATAGCGTGAAAACCACCTTAAAGTCTTCCAGTTACAGGAGCAAGTTTTCTTCAACAAGGAAAACTTCCCCCGCCGTTAAAAAGGTAAAGGGAACCTCATTATGTCACGAGCCTCATTATGTTATGCATGAGCTCCATTATCTTACGTGCTACTTGACTCACAATTTTGTTATCTCGCGAGAATGAAGCTGCCTCTAACATAAATGTCTCGCAACAGTATTTTGCAGCAGGTATATTTTGAAAAAGTAGGTTCACGTTCTACATTATATAACGTCTGCTACAGCAAAAATAAAAACCGCCAGAGGATGATACGCTCTCTTTCTGACTGACTCTAGATCGTAACAGCCGGGGAGGCTACTCAACACAGTTTTATATGGGGAGGCTTCGCCCCAAGGACTAACTCCTTAACCCTGCACTTAACATTTTTGACAGAAAACATACCCTCTTGTACACCTTCTATTGGCCATACTTAAAAAAGAGACGGATTATCCGCCTGAGACGGGTTATCCGGTGGAAAGTTCGCGTCAGGCAGATAATCCTCTTATGTGATTGCACTTTTAAGTCTTCGTCTTCAGTTATGGGCCCATATCATGGCTGTAAACGAAAAAAAATACATCCGAATATAATCCCCACCGGGTATAATAAGCTCCCCTCTTGCATAAACTGAATTGAATTCGATTTCTAATGACGTTTTGAAGCCTTAATTAACGAGCAGTAAATGCAAAAACATATATTGTGATCAGCAATGCTACAACTTATTTCCAAGCGCTTTTTCTATGCCATCAACAAGCCCCCTCGGAAATTAAAAGCTCCTCCGTTTATACGTCTTCCTAAAACTAATTAAGAAGATGTACATGTATAATCCATGGGCTTATAAGCGACAATTTATGGTAGGGGACCGTTCACATATCTAGTACCAACACAATGTCTTTTGTCATTTTCATGTAGCGTTTAATTTGATTCAATGAATTTTAACTTTAATTTTAATTTCAAAGGCTGTGACATTGCCAAATTTGAAAGTGATACGTCTTAAGCTTGCAAAGAGTTGCGAAAATTTGCATACGTTTGTACGTGTGCGGGTGGGAGGGGGAGAGCAAGTTTGTGCCCGTCCCCTACCGTCAGGCAAACGCCTGTAAAATTTCCCGACTCTGAGGAGCTATATCTTCGTTAATTCGTTTTCAACAAATCACTTCCAAAACTTGGCAGTTTTACTCATTTTAAAACGTACTTTCCGGGGGTTTCCTTAGCTTGTCCTTGTCAAAAGTTGAGAAAAAAAAAAATGGTATGGTCTATCCTGAAAGGGGTGCACTTCTGGGTTGCGCCTCCCAGTATAGGTCATTATAGGGGGCCCCTCAACCCCCCCTCCCCACCCCTTTCAAGGTATAAGATGTGAGAGTTTAAAAATGGACACACTAACACTAGACACGTTAAGGCTTGTTTAGCTGGAGCTTAGTGGAGCCGCTACTTTTTCTGAAAGTCAGTAGCATACCCAACTTGGACTGAAGGCAAATTCATGATTATTTTTGACGCACTAAAGAGGAAAGGCATGGGGTACAGTTAGAAACACAAAATCGTGATAGCATGCATAAAACTTTGTTGCTTTTGTAACAATTTATATTCTGCCATTTATTTTTGGAATGTTCATCTTTTGACCCTGTTTCAGTAACTTGAAGCCAGATTATAAACAAAGAATAAGAAGAGCCAACAAATCGCCATAAAAGGAAAAAGAAACAAGCAAAAACAAAGTAACAAACAATACACCGGAACAGAGGATTTACCGAAAATATTTTCTATAAAATGATGAGCACGTAGCACTGATTTCAGAAAACGCTGTGTTCTCGTTCAACTGTCACCGCCATGGTTCAGAATTTCGCTGTTTTCCTGATTCTTTCTCTTTTTGGCGGCTCACTGGGAACAACCACCTCACCTCAGCAACAAACTGACGCCTCAAAATTACAAGACTTATGCCAGGTAAGAAATGCATAAAGATGTAAAAAGGACTACTGCGCCCTAGATTAGGTACACCCAGAAAGCGTTTTATTACTCTCACGTCGTTATGATCATTTATTAAAAAGTACCCGTTAAAAGTTTATGGCAGTTTATTTAAAAGTCCTCGCTTCAGCATGATCTTTCCTCGAAAACCTGAAGCCTGTCCATTGTTAATTGTTAATTTTCTCTGATTCCATCCACCATTCGAGACGAAATAACGATTTAAGAGGATTATGATATTCAAGGTTCATTCCGTGCCTTGAAAACAAGGGAGACGGCTGGCGGGTATAGACTTCGTCCATTTTGGTTCGGAATCATTGTTTGCGTGAGAGCCACAGGCGTGTATGAACGTATTTATCGTTTCAATTCCAAATGAGAAGGAAATATAAATAATTACGCGAATTATTTTTCGTTGCTGTTCTAAATTAATCTAAGTAATTATGACATGCATAATTTCTTCGAGACAAGGTCTGAAAACTGGTATGGATTTTAGAGGCCAAGTCTGAAAACGGGTTTAAAAATGACGTGATTTGGTCTGAAATAGAGTCAGGATTTGGAGAACCGGGTGGCACACCACCACCGCCAAGAATTCCTACGAGTATCCCCCGCCTCGAGTTATCCAAGATCCCGTTTCGTCTTCGTCTCTGCTAAGTGCAGGTCATCTTTTTTCAACTTCAGCGATCTATGCTGGGTTTCCCTGGTATTCCTGGACCAAATGGTATACCGGGAGTGCCGGGAGTGCCGGGCGTCCCGGGGCCACACGGACCCCAGGGAAGAGAAGGTGTAAAAGGACAAATTGGTGATAAAGGATCAGATGGAATGCCGGGTCCAAGAGGAGACAGAGGACGCGAAGGATCCCCTGGGAAGAGTGGACCACGAGGAATTCAGGGAATGAAAGGAGAGCGCGGAGCTGTGGGAATTAAAGGAGAGCGAGGAATTGTGGGAAATCAAGGAAGAAAAGGAGAGAAAGGAGAGAAAGGAGAAAGCGCCAAAGCAAGTCAAGCAAGTGTAGTACCACAAACCAACTGGAAACAATGTGTGTGGAAATCAGCAAGCAGTACTGATAACGGAAAGATTAAGGTAATTAGAATAAGAATCATTAATAACACACTCCAAAAATAATTTATTCCTTTCTAAATCAAAATAATTCAAAGAAGAACGTCTCCCCTCTTACTTACCGTTTGCCAACACATTACATAAAGAACTAAGTTACATCTCCCTCTACTTTGGTTCTTTTTGAAAGAAAGAAAGAAAGAAAGAAAGAAAGAAAGAAAGAAAGAAAGAAAGAAAGAAAACACATCGTGCGTGTTAAAATGATTCCTGGCCATGTGGATAAGGACAACAACAATTGAAGTTATTACATAGTTTTAAAAAAATTAGGAAGTATTCTTGACTGGAGTAGTTAATATCAATCATTACACTTGGTTACTCGCCTTACTACAATATGTTTGATTTGTTTGATTTTATTCCAGGACTGTGCGTTTAACAAACTGCAGTCTAATTCAGCGCTCAGAGTCTCATTCCAGGGAAACATGAGGGTCTATAGTGATAATAAGTGTAACCGCTGGTATTTCAAGTTCAATGGAAACGAATGCAGTGGACCAATGACGATTGAGGCTGCTGTTTACAACTGGTGGCCATCTGGGAACCCTAATCTGCTGCATCATCGGTCATTTGAGGGATACTGTGAAAACATCTCACAAGGGGCAGTTAGAGTGGAATTATGGGTAGCACAGTGCAGTGGCAGCACCCTGGGTAATGCTTACACTGGGTGGAATTCAGTGTCCCGGATAATGATTGAAGAAGTTTCTAGGCCCCAGTCCTAATAAGGGGATTCTTGAACTTTGGCGCTGTTTTAATTTTCTTAGAATAGCATTCTACAAATATAGACTGTAAAGCGTAAGGTGCGAAAGTATTGTTTTTGGTTATTTTCTGTTTAGCCCTTTGTGGCTACCTTCGTCGTATTAGATTATTGATAGTAAACTCCAGGAGCCAAGGCTCCTGTAAACTCTTATAGCTGTATTAATATTTTGCACAATTATGCAAGCATGTTAGTCTCCTATTCATGCATCTTTATGCCGCAGCTCTTTGTTTTGTAACGCAGCGCTTTTTTTAGCTTCTTTTTGGGGAGGCACCTTTCGTGACGACACAATAATGGGCTGAGCGCGTAGGGAATTGGTCCCTGAAGCACCGTTTTGTCTCGTCACGCAACGCTCTTTCCCGTGGCGTGAGGATACAAAAATTGCTGTGATGGAGAGCGATTGATTGGCAATGCTTTTTAAAGGTGATATGTTGTGGATGCAAAATATATCACTACCGCTTCAGGGGAACACTCATTCTCTCTTGGGTTACCATGAATATCACCAGATTGCCGTTCATTTCGTTAAGATTTTAAATTCATTAAAGCAAACATCCTGATATAATCTTTCATCTGAAAAAAATATTTTAGAAATCTTTAATTAAATCGCGCCTTAAGCACGATTCCTTTTGTAGCTAAACACTTTGAGGCAAAACCTCAGAAACCTTTATTAAAATCGGATAAGAATTTTGAGGATTAAAATCTCACCTAGTAAAATTTATAAAAATTAGCTGGAAAGATAAAAATATGATAATATATAGGATAACTTGATTATCGGTAGCCTGCGTGGCAAGTTGTATGGATATACTCGGTCTTGGATACCCATACATCAAGTGATAGGAAGTTAAGTTATGCCGGACCGTCGCAATACGAACTTCGTCAAGGGAACAGTTTTCTTTTATTTAGCAAAACTTTTATTGCTTTGTAGGGTTTCATATACCATAAATTTCACGATTTTATCTCTTCCTGTGTTTTTGATGGTTTCCTTAAAAAAAAAAAAAAAATACTGTTACTTTTATCATAGCCTGATACCAACATCGTCCTTGGAGAGCAATCTTTTCTACCATATCCTAACGGAAAAACTAGTCGAACTAATAAAAGGTTAGAATAGCAAGAAAGCAGTGCACCACGATAAAAGAGTACCAATGTATAATAAATGTAGACCCTGCACCGACCCATAGGAGCTCCTCTGATTTTATATCTCGGTCGGATGAAACAAAGTAGGATATAGTCACCTTTGCCCAATAAGGATACACCTAAAATAAAGAAAAGAGCTAATCATGGGCGTCAAACTACGTGACTTCTAAACCCAAGGCTTCTTTCAGTATAAACATACACGTACTACACGTAGATAGTGACCATTGCATGCAAACCAGCTTTTACAATACCAAAGAAGTATCATCGAATTTCGTTAGTCACCTAACCCAAAACTATAGTTTTATAATAAATGACTATAACAAGTAAATTAACTGTCCTAAATTAATAGAGAAAAATCAGTTTGCGTAAGTTATGTGCTCGATGACGTCTTCAGCTTTCAGCCTGAGAGATAAGTCAAGCTGAAAACAAAACTGAATCATTAATTTGGCCACGTTTAATTTTCCGCAAGGATTAAGACGTTTGGTACCGCTATACCTTTTGCAGAAAGGAAAAAAAAAAGACGCCATTTTATTTTGTTTCTTATAGTAAATAGTGACACAACTATCGAAGAGGAGGTAAATAATGGTGGAGGTAAGACGCGACGCAAAGCGTCCTGGCTTTGTAGCGCTATGCACCGACCCTGAGGAGGAGCTAGTAGATGTTTAGCCATTATTTTCAGTGATTAGCAATATTCGCATGGATTGATTGGCTCCCGTAAACTGGGAACATTCCTTAGCTATGCACTGTTTTAGGACGGGCGTCAAAATGGGCTGCCTTTTCGCGACAACCAGCATATACCAAGAAAGAGAGGAGAGTTGGTCTATTTTGTTTCTTGGTAATTAGACTTGATTTTCAGTAACCTGACCCTACCCTGTTTAAGACAAAGATACATTATTTTATGACCCTAACTCATTTCGTTTCGCAAACAAAATTGAGCATTTTTTTAAACGAACATCGGGTAATTCTAAAAAAGGATTATTCATAGCACAAAAGTAGGCCCAACTTTCGCACTCTTTAAAAGGCATCCGGTCCAAAAATTCACTTTGTTAACGACGCTAAATAGTGAATTAGTTGACCCTGTTTGATACTCACTGGCGAGACCTTAAAACCAACTTCCTGTTGTTCAGTGGCACGTAACCTTTTAGGCTAAAGAAGTAGGGAATCCCCCCGGGTCTTCAACTGAATTTGAATTGGCCATTTTCCAAAGGGATGATAATTGGTTATTTATAAAAACGGGTGTAGTTTTGTATGCTTCTTGTTCTAGCCTGTAAAAAAGGTGTTATTTACTTATTTTTGTTTGTTTCGGATTTTTGCTTCTGCTCGTGGACAAAGGTAGACAAGAGGCGATCATCTGAGGACGCTTCATTTTGAAGCAAAAAAAGAGATCTGCTGACAAAAAAATTAGAAGACAAAAAGGCTTTTTGATTCGGATTATAAAGAAACATCCTCTGGTTTGCCGACATGTTTACTTAATGAGATTATGTGACATTTTTTTTTGCGCTAAGCTTTCGTAATGATCTTTCTTGTCTTGTGCCTGTAAATAAATTAAGAGTAGATTCGTTTTTTAGCAGATAATCGGTCTTGGCGATACTACCATCTGAAGTAACTTAATAAATTTAATTCTTGGGCGTTACTTAGCGAAATACGACTTGCCGAAGCCGAAGGCCGAAGAAAAGAATTGACCTGTGAGACACTCCAACAAATGACTATATTTTGCCGTGATAATAGGGTTCAATAATTTTTTATCATTCTATATGCAGTCGAAGCTCTGCTCGCAACCTCTTCCGTAAGCTAGAGGCGACCATGCAGTTTACGGTAACGACCAGGTAACTCGAACTCTGAAGGGAAACCGCGAAAAGCAGTTCGAGTTAGAAGGGAATTTGACCTATCAGGGTAAATTTCAGTAAAATTTTGATCAAGGGAAAGGAAATTTAGTTCGCGTTAGCGAAGAATTATAGTCATCCGAATCAAAAATCGTGGTTCTACTGACTGTATAAAATGAATGATTCTGGGTTAGAATGTATTACCAACCAGTGCACCCCTTAACAAGCAACATGCATAACTGAATAGTCTCTACGCATTTTGCGGTTAACCAGTCAGTGGAGATCCTGCTGAATACATTACATGGCAAGTACTTGCGCATTTGATCATATCTTTTAATGTTAAAATGCGCAATAAAAGTAATAAATATTATTTAGTACTTTTAAGTTCCTTTAAAAAGGTGAAGAAAACCTAGGGGGAATGAAGACGCGCCTGAAAGTGATACCACAAATTCAAGCGCCTTGCCCTTGACGCAGGTTTGGGAGATCAAGTGAGAAAAGGAGAAGTGGAGATACAACGTTCTGCATGTCGATATTATTCAGCATTTTAACAGTGAGCTTACTGCGCTTTTCGCAAACATGCGAATTCTGAAGTTCAAAAGCCGCCTTCACAATTCCGTATTTCACTGCCGTCAATCATCTTGACGGACCTCTTAGGAAACAAAACTTTACTTTAACGGGTTCAAAAGGTCATGGTTTGTGATTTGTGATTAGTGAATTTCGATCCATTTCGTGTGTTTGTGTGTTTCAAGGCTCATTGCTTGTGATCGTAATTATGATTGACGGCAGCGAAAAACGCAGTTGTGAAGGCGGCTTTTGAACTTTAGAGTTCGCATGTTTGTGAAAAGCGCAGTAAAAGACGTTTTGAGCCGGACTCACGTCAACGGAAACTGCGCGTTTTGCATCCGCCGGCTTGGTCAGTATTCTGCCGAGCAGTATATATGATGCCCAAATTTTCGGGAAAGGCGTTCTATTAGGACTATTAGTAATAGAAATTTGACGTGCGTCGAACGCCTTTGCTTGAGCTCCCTATTAAAAGAAGAAACGAAGAGACAATGTTGAGCCAAAATTAAAAAAAAGGAAAATGGACGGTCGGCACCAGGTCACAATGCTAATGGGAATGGTTAGAAAGGATGTCAGAAACTTTGCATTGGCTGTAAAAAAATGCTGAAGCAGGGACATTAATTAAAAGAACGTCTATTCGCGTTGGCCGTTTTGAAAAATAACGAGTAAAAAATACAAAATAATGGTAAGTCTTGTTTTAAGTTCACCATCGACCACAACTAACCAACAATGGTTTCTGCAACCACAATAACAATTTGCATTTCTAGCTTTTATCTAAAACCAAGGGTGTTATCACTCACGTTCAAAGTTTTGTTTTTATGAATTTTAAAAACAAACTCGCACAAAAAACATAAAAACACTATGAATCAATTTTGGTTTGGCGACAACCAATGCCAAATTTTGCGTTGTTAGCTCGTTTTTTAAATTCGCCGTTTACACGTCGTTTTCTGTTCTCTAGCTTAGAATCAGTGGTTAAATGAAACGTAGTCTGTGTACACTACAGTTTTTGTCGTTTTGTTTACGCCCTAACGTTCTAGTAAACTATAAATGAACCGGTCGGCTGCTAAGACAGTCGTTGATTTTAGTTTCTTCTATTCTGATTTGATGTTCACAGTTTATCGGTTGGCTTCGGTTCATCCGATTAGTTCTTTAAAAGAATTAACGCAGTTTACTTGTTTCGCCAAAACAAGGAAGAATTAGGTATAATATATGTCGCAAAGATAAGACAGATCGATATAAATGTCGCTGTTTAATTTTAATGAATCTGGGAATGCCAGCATCAATAATCAGAATGCCGTTTCTTTCTCTTTCTTTCTATTTCTTAAAAAAAGTTTCAATTTAACGAGAAGGCTAGCAAAAGTTTCATTCAAAGGTACTTCCCTTTGCCAGTTCAAATCACAACAACGAAGAAACCAATTAAAGATAAAAGAATAATTATTGTCCAATC